CGCCAGCCTCCACCACACCAGGCAAGGCCGGCTCAGACATCTGTCCCGCACCCTGTCCGTCCATCCCACCGCTCTCCGGGTTTGTCTGTGTGCACGGAGAGAGGCCCAGCTCCAGTCTGGGCTTCTTCCCCGCCCGGGCGCTCTGTCTGGAGGAGAGCTGGCGTTTCCCGGGGGCAGGCAGCGCTCGCACGAGGCGGCCGACTGACCAGAGCCCTTGCTGTCCGTGAGGTTCAGATGACGAAGCGATTGTCTCTCCGACAGGAGCAGCCGCCACACGAGTCCCCCAGGGCAGCCCAGCAGCCAAGCCCGAGCCTGTACCCCCTCCCATGTTGGCAGGCGCGGCAAAGAGCGCCCCGGGGAGCCCGGCTTCAACAAGCAGCCCCGGAGAGCCGGTCTCCAACCACCTTCCTGCTTCCCCAGGGTTACTGACCCTGCCCCCGGGCAGGCCAGGGGAACACCCTGATGTCTCCAGGCCACAATCACACTCCGTGTCCATTACCAGTTCCACAGACACCTGCTCAGGCTGCTCCCTTTCCTTCCCCAGCTCTGCTGTCAGCACCTCGATCCCTCCATTGCCTTGCGCTCGAGGCTCGACGGGTCCATCTGTCAGGCAGGACCGAGGCACCCTGAGAAGAAGCACCAGTTAACGTTTGCTCTCTCGAGGCCTGGCAGCCCCCTCCCCGCAGTGAGGCCGAGCGTTTTCTCCAGCGCAGGGTGTCTGAAGCCCTCTCTCAGAAATTTTAGGCCCTTGAGGTTCAGCAAAGAGCGATACCGCTGCTGGCAGTGACGGGCAGCAAAGGGAGCTCTCAGCTCTCTCAGCAGCCCAGCGCCCGGGCACAGGAGCGCTCCAGAGCAGCGGGGTTTGCGTCAGATGCGGGAACAGAAGAGATGGGCTCAGCTGCCCTTTCTAGTTTAAGAGGCACTGTAAGTCCACGGGGAGTTCCCTGAAGCAGAGAAGCAACAGAAAGGCAAGGAGAACATCTCTCATGCCCCGTCTGAGCTCTGCCTGGCAGGCGCCGGCTCGATCCTGCACTCGGCCACAGCCCTCTGCTCCCCGCTGACCGATGCCCCGGCCCGGGGCAGGAGCTAGGGACCAGCACCAGGACTCAGGTCCTGTTCCCATGAGCGTGCTGTGAGGCGCCGCACCGCTTTTCCCCTCCGGAAGTTACCAGATTCATAAAGACTCACTCGGCCGACCACTCCACAAAACTGTGGGCGAGCTGCGCGATGACACGATCCACAGGGGCGTAGTGCGAGTCATCCAGTGCAAACCGCTTGTGCTGGGGGCTCTGGAGGTGCTGGAAGGTGGAAGAAGCAGCCCTTTTATAGCCACCCTTGTCCTCTCACAGGAGGGAAATCCGCAGTAAAACCTCCCAAAGCTTAACAGGCCAGAGGGCAGCCAGCC